CACACACACACACACACACACACACACACACACACACACCTGGGGAAACATTCCTCCAGGGAAGCCATCAATCAGTTTTATGTCCTTTCTCTGGGAAAGTTTCCTCCTCTCCAATCAAGCGTCCCCTCCCCCCCGATTCCTTCTTATATTTCCATCTGTATCAGTTTTGTTTCACATCTGAGAACCATCCCGAGCCAATTAGCTTCAACAATTTTTCTTTTCTTTTTTCTTCCCCCCGCTTCAAACTAACCAAGATGTTTTTTCCTGCTTGTTTGCCTGATAATGTATAAGACTGCAGCGACCGAGCTTCCTGCGTTTCCTGAATTTGAGTAACAAACCTGAGGGCAGAGGATGTGTTCAGTGTAAAATAAAAATTGCAAAACAAGCTATGAAATGTCAAATGGAGTCTTAAATTTTTTGAAAGAGGGATCAGTGTGCCAGTGCAGGAAATATGAGATGTTTTATATGAAGATCGGGGGTTTTTTTTTATTTGTATTTTTTTAGATTAACTCTTTCTTTTACAGATAAAATGTAAGATATGAAATTAGAAAATAATAAAGGTGCTCGGGATGTTTAAGTAGTAAAAATTGTAGACAGTTTAAAACTAGTGTTAATTATTAAGTCCCAAAAGGCGAGAAAAATAAGTAGTTCATTCGAATTCTGGCTATAAAGTTAGAAAACTAAATGTACACTCAAACAACAGATGTGTTGGATTTACTTCATTATATTATGCCAACTGRCTCTACTTAACTGAACTGAGTAAAYGTAAGATAATTTTTTACTTTAAAAGTAAATGCAAAAACTGCTTTACATTTACTAACTCCAACAAGTCTGTTTTTTGAGTGTAGCTAATAATTAGTTTGAATCTGCTTCATTTAAAATGACGATTCTTATCCAAAATTATACATATTAATATTTGAGATGCTGAGTAAACATTTGCTTGATGGATGTGGACATTTTTGGGTACTTTGGTAAAAAAAAATAAAAAATAAAATTACAGAGCAAATATTTTGTCCATATATTTCTAAAAGTTCTATCGGTCCACGTG